CCTTGTATCCTATTACCGTCCCTCCTCCTCTGCCTCTCAGATCTCGCTCCTGAAGACTGCAGTGAAGCGGTGGAGGTGCGCATGTGACATCTGAGAGGCAGAGAAGGAGGGAGAGTAATAGGAAAATTACCATATGGAAATCAAATCCGATGCTTTTAAAATGTTTATGTGGTGTGTGTTGGAAGAGGGGTAGTCTTACATGGCGAGTATATCCCAAACTCTATATGTTAACCGGAAAAGTTGGGGGTCATCTTATGCGTCCAGTCATCTTATATGCCAGAATATAATGACCACACAGTTAAACAGGAAATAACAGTTCCTGGGTTATCAATGTCATTTCCTAATTGGTTCTACTGTTTTTGTGGTCCATCCTGCAATACATTTTGCTCTGGTTTTTCATTGAGTCTCAACCAATTCAACCAACAACCAATTCAACCAACAACTACTTTCCAAGTAATGACCACACAGTTAAACAGGAAATAACACTTTCAAACCAGGAACATAAAAAAATCCAAAGTTTCGTTACGTAGTGTTGTTATTTCACCAACTCCTGTACTCTTTGCAGGGCACCACCATCATGCCTGTTCTGACCTCGGTGCTGCACGACGGCAAGGAATTTCCCAACCCCACCGAGTTTGACCCAAGACATTTCCTGAACAAGGACGGGACCTTCAGGAAGAGCAACTACTTCATGCCCTTCTCAGCAGGTAAGCCTCTCCTTCTCCCATTGGGCAGCAGCTCCGTTATGGCTTCTGAGTTGCCCATTAGTGGGGAATGAACCCTCACATGGCAGTGAGATATTGAGCCATACAAACATACCGTTGGATGAAACCACACGGGACAACCAGACCCCCTTTTTCTATGCAGACCAAAGAGAGTCCGTAATTGGCTCTATTCAACACTAGCCTTGAGCTACTGGCCACTATGTTCTGCACCCATGATGGTTAGAGTGGTAAACAAAGGATTTTAATCAAAACATAATTAATGCCCCCTTCCTCCCCCCCCCCAAAAAAATAAAACCACTTGCTGGGTTTTTTGTTTCCACTGGATGATGAAAAGGATCTCACAGGTCCTTCATCCCCATCCTAATAGTGTTGAGGTGTCCATCATGTCCACGTCTCATGACCCCTTTGAAGTCATATCATAATGGTCAACGGGACACATAAAACCAAAGTATATATATAAATCCACTTGGCTGGACCATAAAAGGGAAATCATAGAATCCTAGAATTCTAGAGTTGGAAGAGACCTCATGGGCCATCCAGTCCAACCCCATTCTACCAAGAAGCAGGAATGTTGCATTCAAAGCATCCTGACCGTAAGAGCTGTTCAACAGTGGAACTTAGTGCCTTATTTTACTTAGTTTCAAGACCCTCACAGTGTGGTGGGGCCTCCTTCTTTGGCTTGGTTTCAAGACCTCTGGGCATCTTGGTCACTCTTCTTTAGTCACATACCTTCTTGTCAGAGTTCCTGAACTGGAGAGGGGTTTCCAGATGAGGAGGCCTGACCAAAGCAGAACAGAGTGAGGCTTCTGCTTCCCTTGCTCTTCAGACTGGATTCTGCTGCGTGTCTCCTACAGCTCCCTTGGTGACCCCCTCCCCTGTTTCTCCCCTTCCTTCCTGGGTCTCTTTGCAGGCAAACGGGTCTGCGCAGGAGAAGGCCTGGCCCGCATGGAGCTCTTTTTGTTCTTCACCTCCATCCTCCAGAATTTCAAGCTGAAGTCCCTCACGGACCCCCAGGACATCGACATCTCCCCCTTGGAAGGGGGAATGAACAATTTCCCTCGGCCGTACAAGTTCTGTGTTATCCCACGCTGAAAATCACACATCTGGAGAACAGAAGCCCTGGCATAGTCCAGGGTGACCAGACAAGCTCTAATGGGTCTCCTCCAAATCTGCACCCGTGGGAGGATTTAACTTGCTTGTTATTAAATGTTCTTTGACCCCCATTCTATATTGTTTTCAACTGATTTTGTATGTGGATATTCCAGACTGGGAAGGATGTGTCTTTCAAGTTTTCTCACCTGGACTTCTTGGTTTGGCCTCTTGATGCTTGCTTTTCAGGGCCTTTTTTGAGTCCTTGAACCGTTTACTCATCAAAACCCAATAACAGAAGCATAGAATCATTGAGTTAGAAGAGACCTTGTGGACCATCCAATCCAAACCCATTCTGACAAGAAGCAGGGAAACCTAAAGGAGCCCCTAAAGGCAACTATTCCAGGCTTAACTTCTGCAGATTCAGTTGGTGTGATCTTTCTAGGAATCTCTAAGCAGCTAGGAAGGTTTTGAATAGAGAATTGAGCTGGAGGATCTCTCTTGGAATCTCTAGATCAGTGGTTCTCAACCTGTGAGTCCCCAGGTGTTTTGGCCTATGACTCTCAGAAATCTCAGCCAGTTTACCAGCTGTTAGGATTTCTGGGAGTTGAAGGCCAAAACATCTGGGGACCCACAGGTTGAGAACCACTGTTCTAGATCCTCCAGCAGAACTCGTATGAGGAAAATCCCACTGGAGGGCTTAGAGATTTCTGGAGGAGTCCTCTCAGGCTAAAGTAGTAATGGTGTTTTATTCATGTTTTCGACACATAGAATCATAGAGTTGGAAGAGACCTCGTGGGCCATCCAGCCCAACTCCCACATCTGGAAGGGTTTTTTCTAAAGTCCTTACAGCTCTGTGGAGATGCCCATAAAATGTTATTGTCACCATCACTCATGTATATTCATGAGAATATTGCATCTATCTTGGTGGGATTGGGATGACCCATGAGAGTCCTGCAAGGGGATCTGGAGATCATGGTGAAGACAGACCCAGTTTGTAAAATCTTGAAGTTCTCAGAGAGGAATGAGCGATCAAGGATCTCATACTATGATGCTATCATGGAGAACAATTGGGTGATTACTAGGGTTGTGCAATTCAGCAAAACCCATGCCATTTTCCATGCCCAGTTTTTGGTTGCCCCCCTGTTCTGTTTTTAGGGAATTTCCCAACTTTGGGTGGGGTTGCTTTTTTCATATCAGAAAGATTCGGTCTATTGGCACCAACGGGATCATTTCTATGTTACTTTTAGACCTATCTGTTGTAGTTCAGCCAGCCGAGGATGATGACAAGGGGTTGGGGGTGAAGGTCCTGCAGGGCCTGATGCTTCTGGAGGTGCTCAGACAGATGGGATGTTGGAACAGGATGGTGATTCCTTGGTTGGGAGAACGGAGAGGGATTTGATTGATTCTCTGTGTGAAAACGAACCTGTTTTAGAAGCTGACAGGCAGAGAAGGGAGGAAGGGGGTTAGACAGAGATTCAAGGCTGCTCCTGCTGGGGAAGAATTCCAGGTGCAAGCCGAGCTATGGGAAAAGGAGGCAGAGGCCAAGTAGGACTCCTCAAAGCCAACGGAATGCTTTCATGCATTGCCGTCCTTAATAAGGGAAAGAATAGCTCTCAGGTCTCAGATCAAGCAATGTAGCAAATAGAGCGAGAAGCTCCCGCCTTGTTTCCGGTTCTATCTGAGCTTCAAGCCAAATTTTCTAGTCAAGTTTTGCTACCAGTCTTGGGGATTTTATCATGAACTCAAGCTTATGTTTTATTCCTTGACTCTTGGATTAGTCAAGCTCATGTTTGTTCCATGCACCTTGGATTATTTATTATTTATTTATTTATTTACTTTACTTGTATACCGCAGTTTCTCAGCCTAACCGGCGACTCAACGCGGTTTACAACAAGGGTAAAATCAATCACAATATACAATTTAAAACACAAAAGCACAATATACAGTATTACACAACAATAACAACACAATGCTTCTCATCACTAGAGTCATGATCCAAATGCGTCGTCCATATTTCCATTCCTGTAATCGTCACATTCATTGCACTGATTAACCAAATGCCTGTTCAAACATCCAAGTTTTTAATCTTCTTCGGAACACCATTAGCGAGGGGGCTGATCTTACCTCCATAGGAAAGGGCGTTCCACAGCCGGGGGGCCACCACAGAAAAGGCCCTGTCTCTCGTCCCCGCCAGCCGCACCTGTGAAGCAGGCGGGATAGAGAGCAGGGCCTCCCCAGAAGATCTCAGGGTCCTGGCGGGCTGATAGACAGAGATACGTTGGGATAGGTAACTTGGGCCAGAACCGTTTAGGGCTTTAAAGGCCAACGCCAGCACTTTGAATTGAGCCCGGTAGCAGATCGGCAGCTAGTGGAGCTGGCGCAGCAGAGGAGTGGTATGCTCCCTGCGCTCCGCTCCTGTTAGTATCATGGCTGCCGAACGTTGGACTAGTTGGAGCTTCCGAGCCGTCTTCAAAGGCAACCCCACGTAGAGAGCGTTGCAGTAGTCTAAACGGGATGTAACCAGAGCGTGGACTACCGTGGCCAAGTCAGACTTCCCAAGGTACGGGCGCAGCTGGCGCACGAGTTTTAACTGTGCGAATGCTCCCCTGGTCACCGCCGAAACTTTTGCATTTAGACTTTTGCATTTGAGATTGTCTCTGGCCTTTGGGACTCTTCCTAGCTTTACATATTTGGATTTTTTTTTACTCTTTTACTGTGTGTGCTTTAACAAGAAACTCTTTATTACTACGCTTGGCTTCCTGATGAGTGCAGCTAGGTGAACTCTAGCTGAGGTGCAACACTATCAGTGTTGTGGCTGAGATGTTCCCTGATGATGAGGATGATGGGATTCAGATTTTTCTGTGCCTCAGATCTCTGGGCCTGCTTCTAGGTCTTTTTCTGAATCACCGCAATGGTTCTCAGAAGAAAAGAATTTTAATGAAGGAGATAGCGAACAGGTGGGGAATCATAGAATCATAGAATCAAAGAATCAAAGAGTTGGAAGAGACCTCATGGGCCATCCAGTCCAACCCCATTCTGCCAAGAAGCAGGAATATTGCATTCAAATCACCCCTGACAGATGGCCATCCAGCCTCTGTTTAAAAGCTTCCAAAGAAGGAGCCTCCACCACACTCCGGGGCAGAGAGTTCCACTGCTGAACGGCTCGCACAGTCAGGAAGTTCTTCCTAATGTTCAGATGGAATCTCCTCTCTTGTAGTTTGAAGCCATTGTTCCGCGTCCTAGTCTCCAAGGAAGCAGAAAACAAGCTTGCTCCCTCCTCCCTGTGGCTTCCTCTCACATATTTATACATGGCTACCATATCTCCTCTCAGCCTTCTCTTCTTCAGGCTAAACATGCCCAGTTCCCTAAGCCGCTCCTCATAGGGCTTGTTCTCCAGACCCTTGATCATTTTAGTCGCCCTCCTCTGGACACATTCCAGCTTGTCAATATATCTCTCTTGAATTGTGGTGCCCAGAGTTGGACACAATATTCCAGATGTGGTCTAACCAAAGCAGAATAGAGGGGTAGCATTACTTCCTTAGATCTAGACACTATGCTCCTATTGATGCAGGCCAAAATCCCATTGGCTTTTTTTGCCGCCACATCACATTGTTGGCTCATGTTTAACTTGTTGTCCACGAGGACTCCAAGATCTTTTTCACACGTACTGCTCTCAAGCCAGGCATTGTCCCCCATTCTGTATCTTTGCATTTCATTTTTCCTGCCAAAGTGGAGTATCTTGCATTTGTCACTGTTGAACTTCATTTTGTTAGTTTTGGCCCATCTCTCTAATCTGTCAAGATCGTTTTGAATTCTGCTCCTGTCCTCTGGACTATTGGCTATCCCTCCCAATTTGGTGTCGTCTGCAAACTTGATGATCATGCCTTCTAGCCCTTCATCTAAGTCATTAATAAAGATGTTGAACAGGACCGGGCCCAGGACGGAACCCTTCGGCACTCCACTTGTCACTTCTTTCCAAGATGAAGAGGAAGCATTAGTGAGCACTCTCTGTGTTCGTCCACTTAACCAATTACAGATCCACCTCACCGTAGTTTTGCCTAGCCCACACTGGACTAGTTTCCTTGCCAGAAGGTCATGGGGGACCTTGTCGAAGGCCTTACTGAAATCCAGGTACGCTACATCCACGGCATTCCCCGCATCTACCCAGCTTGTAGCTCTATCGAAGAAAGAGATCAGATTAGTCTGGCATGACCAATCTGATCTCTTTTCCCGCCTTCCCACGCTGATACTGAAAGTGCAGAAAGCCTTGCTAGTGACCTAACCCGGCAGGCTCGTCTTGATTTGCGGGTCAGGCAGAGTTCTTGCCTGGCCGGCAGACAAGAAGCCAACTCGGGCCAACGTCATCGCAATGCTTTCATGTTGGTGAGAGCATAATGTTTTCCTGTTAGGAAGGTATTTAGACTTCTTGCAAACTAAAGAGAAAGCGTCAGTTCAACATAGCTTATTAGCCTGAAAGCTTCATGAAATAACCTTAGTCTGGAAAGCAGCACGCTTGGGATTTCTTGCATTGTGATTCTTGGGGCAATTGTTTCATTGCTTGTACCTTGGACTCTGTTTTGAACTTTGCTTATAGGATTGTGCCTCTTGTTTTACCAGAAGATCTTTGGAACTATATTCTGCATTTAACCTAAATCTTTGGAACTTTGCAATGCTTATTATTTATTTTGACTTGGATTTTTTTCCTCAATAAACTATAAAACTACAGCTCTTGTGTGGTGGTGTTTGGAAGCAAGGTGAAACTTACTCTCGGTTGCATCAATCAGTGTGAAACTCGCCTCACTTGTAGGCCACATCTTCTACTGCAAGCCTGCCAAGTTTCTGAATGCTTCACCAAGGAAGCAAAAAGGACGCTTGCTCCCTCTTCCTCCCTGTGGCTTCCTCTCACATATTTATACATGGCTATCATGTCTCCTCTCAGCCTTCTCTTCTTCAGGCTAAACATGCCCAGCTCCTTAAGCCGCTCCTCACAGGGCTTGTTCTCCAGACCCTTGATCATTTTAGTCACCCTCCTCTGGACACATTCCAGCTTGTCAATATCTCTCTTGAATTGTGGTGCCCAGAATTGGACACAATATTCCAGGTGTGGTCTAACCAAAGCGGAATAGAGCAT